GTCTAGCATGACTGTGGAAGTCGTGGAAACCGACAGATGCGATAAGATCACACTTTGCTGGCTTGCATGTGAAAGGCACACGAAAATAAATATTGGCTCGACTGTCTCTGACGTGCGACAAAACCTGCAGCTTTATCACCTACAGAAGCACATTCCAATAAAAAAAAAAAAAAAGCGCAAACAGGAAACAAAATGATTTCAGGGGTTGAAGTGACAAGTAGGAAGTCATGACATCCGGTTTGGGCGCAGTTAGGGGGAAGTGAGACACTTTGCAGTTGGTCTTTATTCCACGAACAATAGACTTCCTTTTTAGTTCTGATTATAAAAAGCAGACTTCGGGGCTTGTGCTGCAGTGTTTCAGAATCTTGTGTGTGAAAGAGGCTCCTCATTCTGTATTGTTTGTGGGAATTGCGTAGGGCTTGGCGGTTATGGGGAAAAAAAAATCATGATTATTTTTGACATTGAAATTACGATGACTAAAAATGATTATTCACTTGATCTCATAACTCAGTATTTATTCAACGACCAAAACTTTAAATATAACTTGAAGGAGCCAGAAAATAAATGAGAAAGAAAGTAAAACAAGAATATATTCAAATAAAATACAAATAACGGTGATTCCGGCTGTGCGCATGTTGGCCTCATCGGGGCAGTGTGGTGCCGTATATGCGAGGAGAATAGTAGAAGAAGAAAGGTGCAATAAGGTGAATAATTTAATTCATTCTGCTCTGGCTCTGATGTGGTGGCTTTGTGGGATCTCTGCGTGAAAGAGAGAATAATGAAGTATCCACGGTTGCATTTTTTAGATAATTTTGCCTTTTTTTTCTCGCTGGGTTCTGTGAAAGCCACGGGCAAATAAATGCAAAAGTTTACATGCTCTCTGTGTGAAAGAGTGACTGACTTTCTTTGGTTAGTTTCTTTGGTGGTGAAAGCCACTGGCAAATATTTTATTATTATTATTATTTTGCCAATTCCTTAGCAAGGGAATGTTTGAATGCATGTCTTTGTCTAATGTGTAATTGGCAAAAAAAAAAAAAAAAAGGAAAATTAAAAATTTTAAAGGAACAAATTTAGCCGGGGCAATTATTCTTTAG